GAGGTAATAGTTATTTTGGCATGAGTTATGCTATACCGGTGCATAGGTCAGTATAACTTGTGTCACTCAGAAGTGTTGATTATTCACACCCCTGAGCTACTAAGTTACAAAGAAATATTCTGTAGACCAGCTTTCCTACTCTTATGGAATTAAATAATTTTCAATATCCCCATACTTAACAAGTTTTACTCAGTCTTTCCACTCCTACCTATTCCCCTCCCATAACCAGGAACTTCAGTCTAGTCCCCACTTTCAGAGCAACTAATGGCATAACATCCCTCTCAAATCTCTCTCTTCAGCACCCCTTCCACTCAAAACAGCCTATTACCACTATCATGGTTCTCATAAGAATGACCATGCTGGGTCAGACCAGAGTTCCATTTAGCCCAGTATCCTGTCTTCCAACAGTGGCCAACCTCAGAGGGAGTAAACAGAACAGGTAATCATCACATGACCCTTCTCTTGTCATCCATTTCCAGCCACTGATAAACAGAGGCTAGAGACACCATTGCTACCCATCCTGGCTAATAGCCATTGATGGATCTATCGTCCATGAATTTATCTAGATTTTGTTTTTTTGAACCCTGTTAAAGTTCTGTCCTTTCCAACATCCTCTGACAAGGAGTTCCCCAGGTTGACTCAGTTCAGCTCTTGCTCCGCTTCCTCCCACAATGTGCTATAATATTCCCTATTGCTTTCATCTTAGCCTTCCTTCCAGATACTGCAGATTTACTTTTAAGTTAGGACAAATCACACTTTCCCTTTTTCCTCTTAGCTCACATCACAATAGCAGATTGATGGTGAAGGGGTAAAGTTAAGACTGAGGTTGCGGGCTGGAGACGGGAAGTGAAGGCTGGGAAGGAGTACTGATATAAACATATCAGCTGTGTCTACACTGCACCCCTTTTCCGGAAAAGGGATGCAGATTAGACACTTTGGAATAGCAAAATCCGCAGGGGATTTAAATATCTTGAAAGTAGGAATAAGAGATCCTCCGGAAAAGGGCTTATTTTCCGGAGAATCACGTATAGACTGGCGCTTTTCTCCGGCTTATCCCCAAGCCGGAAAAAAGCGGCAGCCATGTTAATGCAAATACCGCGGGGAATATTTAAATCTCCCGCGGATTTTGCTATTCTATAGTGTCTAATCTGCATCCCTTTTCCGGAAAAGGGGTGCAGTGTAGACACAGCCTATATGTTTATATCAGTACTCCTTCCCAGCCTTCACTTCCCGTCTCCAGCCCGCAACCTCAGTCTTTACTTTACCCCTTCACCATCAATCTTCTCTCTCAGCTGCCTTCTTTCCTCTCCACTGGCATGCCAATCTACACTTAGATCATCATCATCATCTTCCCCCAGTGTACTCCAGTCTTCTCTCTCAGCTTTTCCAGTCTCTGCACAGCTGCACTCTTCCCACCATCTGCAACCTCCTGCATGATTCATCACTAAACACAACACACCATGATTATTCACAATTTGAAAAGCTATAGTGGAATTTACATCTTTTTCTGGAAAGGACTCAAGAAGACTGAGGAGAGAAAGACTGCACTGTGTACTTTCTGTGGCTGTATCCTACTGGTAAATTGTATTTCTTTATCTACTGATATTAAATGGCATGCTTGATTTCCTAAACTCGGTTTAATAGTGCATAATCCCGCTGCTAGAGTTACCATCCTTCAAATATTTGACCAGTTGGCTTGGTGGAAGTTAAAGATCTTATAGTACTTTTCAAAATGAGGACGAGTAAATTGCAGCCATCATTCTCCTCCCCCTCCTAAACAAATTCTACTGTCCAAGGCAGTACAAAAAGGTTGCTTGGTTTGCTTGTGCTTTCCTGTACTGCTAGTTTAACTCATTCCTGCATAATGTACTTGTATAAAACACACTCACTGAAGCCTGCTATATTCACTATATTTAAATATATTTTAAATGAGGAAACTTTCCTCTCAGAATGTGAAACCCATTTTCCCCTTTGAATGAAGTCTTCTTTGTAAGGGAACACCCATTTTGTTTCAAGTAATCTAGAGATTCTTAGCATAAGAATTTTTCCTCCAACATAAATAAACTATCTGAAAATAAAGCTTATATTAAAATTAACATTGCTGGGATGATGGATGATAAGTGTAATAAAGCCACATTTTTAGCAAATGGACACAATATAATCAAACTTTCCAGAGCAACCAAGACGTCAAATGGAGGATATGGTTCTTGGTCACCTGACATCACAGTTCTACATTATGTCACTCAATACAGAGATCACAAGACTTCCTTCCCTCCAGAATCAATGCAGAGTCTGGGCATAATCTAAATGTAACTTGTTTTATTTATACACATCCCCTAGTGCTCAAAGCAGATATTTCATTTCCAGTTCCCATGAGACAACTTTGCCTCAAGAATCAACACCAATCAGAGACTAAGAATGAACTCTTTCTAGTCACACAAACTTCTGCCAGGACTATTGCATCTATAGAAAATCTGCCATATTGAAATCTAACTCCATCATAGCACACCTTCCCAAAACTGAACATTTTCTTGGACAATAAGAAAAAGAACTTGGAGGACTATCAGCACCACCTGATAATGCCTGCTGCAACAATTTGACACAATATAGAAGCCTAATACTAGAAATCAGTTTTTAACCCTGTTTAGAAAGTGTCAAATATTTTTTAAAATAGATGGATTAGATAGATTATTTTCACACCTGTATCAAGAGCCAAATCCATTTCTCTTTACTAATCTCAAGTAAATAAGATTTTTGCACTGGACCCAGACAGTGTTTAAAATCTTCCCTGGAAAGCTACGGGCATGCACAGGACAACCACACAACTACAATGCTGTTATACTGGAGAAGGCTGACAAGTGGACTCACTTAATATAACATTTAACCCTGCTGTTGAGAAGAAATCCACTGAACACTGCTCCCCCTATACAAGCTGGTATAAAGTCTCCCTGGACAATCACTAACAAACCTGCATCGTCCCTGCTCTCCCCATATACATACAGCAGAACCAGTGTGGTTCTTCAATGTATATGTAGCATTCTGCAGCCTAACCATGGCAGGAAGCACTTCTCCTAGAAACAAGATATAGAAATTTTATTTTTGATATAGGGCCTACATTATGACTCCAATGTCATAAACTGACACCATTTCAGCAAGATTGTTAACGCTGGCTGGAGGCTGAGAAGTGTCAACTATATTATAGAATCATAGAATACTAGGACTAGAAGGGACCTCGAGACGTCATCGAGTCCAGACCCCTGCCCTCATGGCAGGACCAAATAAAAACTTGATTTTCAAATAGACTTTATAATTTGATATTGGAAAGAAGTATTTCTGACCATGTGAATTTTCAGCTTCCTAGGTTTCAAGTTGGTATTTTCCTTCAGCAGACTGCTAACCACATTGAATTGTCTATTACCTGGGAAAGTGGTCTAAAAATAACATTTAAAAATAAATTTGGGTGCTCTCCCTCATCTAACAAGAAAATCAATTCTAATATAACAGTACAGTCACATACCATAGATAATATAATTACTGTTATTGGGTAGGAACCTCAAATCAAGAGTTACAGGCATTGTATATACATCCACACAAGAAGACTGTTCCTGCCACAAAGACCTAGTCATATGCTACAAGTCATTTCAAATTATCGTCAATTTTTATTTTCAGTCCAAATAATTTAGGATACCCTTACTAAGCAAGTTGTCACACTGATGCCAATGGGACTATTCATGAGAGTTTCCACTCACCAAAGCAGGTAAAAAAGTTAATAAATTGTACCTCCTGATATTTTACATCACTTTGGATAAGTATTGTGAAAACTTGAGCCTGTAATTGGTTCATATGCATATAATACAGCAATTAATGTCCTCTTACCAAATTACCAGTGGGTGGGGTATTACTTTATTAAAAACAGTACACACAAGGCTTTCTTGTGTGTTCCAGGAGGCTAGAGCCATCTGCCCACCCAAATACAAAACTTCTAATTGCCATTACACCTCAGAAACTTAAGTGGAATGTGATTATATTTTAAATCAAAATAGTAAGCTCAGAAAATACATTCCTTGCCACGAGGAGTTCACAATGTTAAAATAAACTCAAATTTCAGTTCATGCAGTTACATACAGATCCCTGGTCAATGTAATTTGTATTATCCTTTGCATGGGAGTACATAGCTTGATTCAAGAATTATTTTGAAATCTATGTCATAGTGTTATCATTTCCACGTGCATAACCTGAAATATTGTCTACTACTCCTATATTAACAGATTCTGCTTCTAATCTTTGGACTCCTGAGTGGTAGAAAAGTCAGAATGGGATCTTTTTCCGCATTATTCATTGAGAGTAAACGTCAAAAACCTACACAAGACATTCAAATATCAAAAAAGTTACTCTACACCTAGGTCAATTATCAGAAACCATAACCTGCCACAACAGCAGGAAGAAATTTTTAAACATTTATAAAATATTTTATATATTGTAAAATTTAAGCAGTACTGATATGGAGCACAAACAATCGTGTACCATAAGTATATTTAAAAAGAAATAAAAAGCTCAATTCATATTTAACACTTTTTAATAAAGTGGTGCTTTATGACTCAATCCTACAGGGTGAAGAAAACTTTCAGTATAGTTGATGCTCACAGATTTAAAATTTCATTTACTAGGCTTGAGACCATGCAACCCTCAATTCTGGTTAATTTAATGAAAAATTAGGCATGTTTGGAGTTTCACAGAAATCAAATATTTACTTAACTTCTGCAGAGGAAACAAAAAGAATTGTACTGCAACAGGTTTATAGAAATCAGAAAATCTATTTACATCCATTTAGCTCTTTTTCACCCTTTAACAATTTATTTTTATCTCTTGCTCACGCTTCTTCCCTTGTAAATTAATGTAACTACTTTGTATACAAATTCTCCCTCAACTATTTTCTCCCTTAAATCCTCAAAGTATGCTGTCATGGTAGTTCTTAATTTATAAGAATAAATTTTACTCACTGTTTATAGCAACCACTTGGAAGATTGAAACAGAAATCAGTTGCCATAATCTGTTCCCCTTCCATTTCATGTGCAAACTGGTTACTGTGGAGCTCTTCATAAATTCTGGGCTGCTGGTGCTCTTTCTATAAATACATAAATACAATAAAATAGTCAATGCTTTAGTGTATTTTTCATTCACAAAACAATTTAAGCAGGAAAAACCACTTGTAGCTGTTTATAGTAGCTCATATACTTTCACATTCCTCATTATTTTCTCCATCCACTGTAGCCAGACATAAAATACACACATGCAAAGTGTATCTTTTCACAGGTTCTTCATACTTCCGCAGACCTCAAACAGATATACTTCATCTGCTAGTTTTCTTAAGTTAATATCTACAACACTGAAGCCTTAATCACTTTCACAGTGTTGCCAACTCTTGCAGTTTTGTTGAGAACCTCATGATAGCTGGTGTTTTTTGAAGCCCAAGCTTTTCGAGTCAAGTGATTATAGAAATCACAAGTTTCTAGCTCCCCTGGTTATAAGTAAAAAATTGAAAACATGAACTAAATGAACCATAAAAAACCTCAGCATCTGAAATTAAAAATACTTAAAAAGATCACAGGACTTATTAATGCTTGAGGTTGGCAACACTGCTTATGCAGTGTTTATTTTACATGAGTTGACCCAATGAAGTGCACAGGATGTCAAGAATCACATATTCTGATTGTCCAATAAGGCAATCAAACCCTTCCATAATGAAATCCTGGTGACTTTCAGCTATAAATCCATTTCCAGCCCAAAATGCTTACACTCACATGAAACATCTTTCCTCAATACTGGAGATTATATATAAACCACTATAATAACTCCCCCTCCCACAGACCTTTGGAATACCAGTCACACCCCTAAGCTAGGTTTTCTAAAAAAATGCACACACTTTATAATGCCTGTTAAAATACACATACCTATGTTAAAGTAAATAATGAGTTGATTAAATCCACTCCCTTATCCACCCAAACCCAAAAGGGAAAATAATCAAAGTTGAGCCTTTAAAGGTAATTTGTAAAAACTGCTTTAAAATTAAATGTGAAATGCATAGAATATCAATTAATTTAAATTATAAGCACCTTTTAATAAACTATTTTAACTCAATTCTTTATACCGTACTTGCCAAGACAAGTTCATGGTCCTGTGTTTTCCTTGTAACAAATAGTTGTGTGGCTTTTTTTTTTTTTTTTTTTTGAAACCAACTGAAAAAATAAAAGTATTTCGAGTGTTGACATTTTATAGGAAGAGGATATTTCTTGGAATCACACACCTCTCAAGTCACTGTAAACCATCTCCAAAAGAAACTGGCAATGGCTTGCTCCTACGCTTGTCTGCTATTCTACTACAAAACATACTGGAATATTTATGGCACCAATCACATAAAACATTCATAGAACCACAACTGAAAAAATAAAAGTATTTCGAGTGTTGACATTTTATAGGAAGAGGATATTTCTTGGAATCACACACCTCTCAAGTCACTGTAAACCATCTCCAAAAGAAACTGGCAATGGCTTGCTCCTACGCTTGTCTGCTATTCTACTACAAAACATACTGGAATATTTATGGCACCAATCACATAAAACATTCATAGAACCACTCAGCCAGCCAGAAAAGATTAAAACAAGGCAATATGAAATCACAAGCAAAACACAGCCACTGCTCCATGCCTTGAACTTCATATCTCCTTTTAAGAAAAGTTTGTAGTTATTGTAACATAGCCGGAAGGGGAGAGGGGGAGAAGAGGAGAGGAGGAAGGGAATAAAAATGTAACCTTTTTGACTATGCGAATCCTGATATAAAAAATCCCTACTCCATCTGATTATACAGGATGTGATTATTATAATTCAGGGCATCAGTAGCTTGGCAACACACACTTTTTTTTTTTAAATGACTACCTCAAAGCACTCCTCCCCTACATGGAGAGAGCAAGCATGCTGCCTGTGCAGTGCTCTCAGACACTGCTTGCAAGAGAGGAAGGTTGGTTTCAGACTTTCAGCCTTACAAAAAATATAATGTAGAACTTGAAGACTAGAAAGTGCCTATACAGTTGTATTAAAAGTCACTAAATCAGATGACTATGTGATTGCGTTGCCTAAATAAGCCACAAATATATGCTCTTGATCTATTTTCTAGCCAAAATATTACAAAAGTCGCAAGTGGCATCTGGTCTCCAGAGGACACCAAATTATTTTCCAAATGCTGACAGTCAAGGTAGTTACAAGGGAAGCCCTGATTACAGTTTACCAGGTCCTTATGTGCTAATTACTAGCCTAGTGATAAAAGTTTTTAAAAAAAATCTATAGGTTTTTTTAACTCTCTTTAAACAAGACGCAACAACGTTGTGCATACCTCTTACACAGATTCAGAGAGTGGCTTCGAGTACTAAGAGGACAGAAGCATCTTAATTCCAAACAATTCCACTTAACACATCCCGTTCAACTTCCCTCTCGCTAGTGAGATTCTGAGCACCAGTAAGAGCAGCTAAAAACTGCCTATTAAGCGAAGCCCCTTCACGCGCACTTCCACTGCCCCTCTGAGCCCCCACACTGCCCCGCAGACAGCAGGGAACGCGTTTTACTTGTCTAAGAGGACAGAAGCATCTTAATTCCAAACAATTCCACTTAACACATCCCGTTCAACTTCCCTCTCGCTAGTGAGATTCTGAGCACCAGTAAGAGCAGCTAAAAACTGCCTATTAAGCGAAGCCCCTTCACGCGCACTTCCACTGCCCCTCTGAGCCCCCACACTGCCCCGCAGACAGCAGGGAACGCGTTTTACTTGTCAAAC